GAAGCAGAACTCAGCATTTTCATAAGAAACATGTGTATTAGAATAGCCTTTTTTCGGCGCCGCCTCGGAACTCGATTTTCCGGCGCCGGCCGGAACCGGCTCCAGACCCGGCCCGAGCACCTGCCCGGACGCCAGCTCGGGCGTGCCTGGGCGCCGGCGGAAATGATGCCAGCGCTGCAGCGGGAGCACGATTCGGAACGAGCGGGGCCCCGAAAATGATGCCGGCGCCTCAGCGAGAGCAGCATTTTGGAAAAAAATGCAAGCGAAAACCCAATTCCGGGGAAACCTGTGTGTAAAAAACAGTACGCGGCGGGGAGGGCGAATATTCCCAAGACGTCATCAGGGGAAGAGGGAGAGTAGTAATCATATTGAGTAATTGTAGAAGGGAATGGAATGGAGGGAGAAGGGCAGAGCAGGAGGAGGAGGAGGACTCCTTGCTTTTCACAGAGGGATCTTGGCGATGCTGACAGGCGGGAGTGGACTCACCCCCGGCCGATCCTACTGCCCGCCGCGGTGTGCGGAGACAGGGCCGGCCCGTGAGAGAGGCCGAGTGGACCTCCCGCCTCTCGCGGCCCCAGCGGGCGCGCTCCTCCTGCCCGAGGGTGCGCAGAGGAGGCGGGGCCGCGGCTCTCGCGTGCCCCGAGGCTCGGCCGGCGGGCGGTGGCTCCTTCGCTTCTGCCGCCGCGCTCAGCCGAGCCCGGCTCTCCGAGGCTGGGCGCGGGATCTCGGCGGCGCGCCACCCGACTCCGCGCCATCCCCCTCTCGCCCCGCCATCACGCGGCCAGCGAAACTCTCGATCATTCCGGGCGCGCTCTGGTCGGGGGGGGGGATGGGCGAGCGGGTGGCACTGGGAGAAGTGTGGGGCTGTCAGAGCAGAGGCCTCGCGGCTCATGCCTCGCCCCTGACGTCTGCCGTGAGACACGGCGAACAGGGGGGGCGCACCCGACAGCGGACGCCCCCCAGCGCTGAGGGAGGAGCAGGGCGAGGTAGAGAAACACGGAGGGGAGGAATGAGGCGGAGGAGGTGGAGGAGGAAGGCGAGGAGGAAGTGGAGGGGGGCGAGGAGGAGGAGGAGGAGGAGGAGGAGGAGGAGGAGGAGAGGAGGAGGAGGAGAGCGAGAGGCGAGGAGGAGAGGAGGATGAGGAGGAGGAAGGGAGGAGGGAGGGAAGAGGAGGAGGAGGAGGAGGATGAGGAGAGGAGGAGGAGCGAAAAAGAGAGGAGGATGGAGGAGTGAGTGGTAGGAGGAGGAGGAGGAAGAAGGGAGGAGGAACATGAGGAGGAAGGATGAGGGCGAGGAGGAGGAGGGAGGAGGGAGGAGGGAGGGAGGGAGATGGAGGAGAGGAGGAGGAGGAGGAGGAGGAGGAGGAGGGCGAGGAGGAGGAGGGCAAGTAGGATGATGATGAGGAGGAGGAGGAGGAGAACCTGTGCAAACCCAGCCCTCATCAACGATGTTGGAATCAACCCTCCCTCCAAGCTGCCTCTTCACAGGCCCCTACAAGGACTCATTTCCACTGAGGGCAGTGCCCCGTTGGGAGAGAACCGTTTGAAGATCCGAAAGCTCGCAACAACACGATTCTCGGACTTCTGGCTGTTGCGTCGTGACGAGCCTGATTCGTGTGCCACAACGTCTTTCCTGGGACTTCAACATCGCGAATCAACGTAGCTGTTGCGCCCTGTCAATCATGAATCGTGCCCGCACTCCAATCCTGGTGCGTAAACAATGGGAACCCGTGAAACTCTTGCAATTCTTCAAGATGGATGTGCGCGGCGCTAAGACGAGGGCTACACTTTGAAAAAGAACCACCCTCAATCAGTGAAACTCTTGCAAGTGTGAAGACGAATGTGCGCGGCGCTAAGGCAAGAGCCACATTTCGGAAGCGACCCGCCATCCATCTTTGAAACTGTTGCCAATTTCTGAACTTCAGGACCATGCATGGTAAGGCAATCTCATGCGAAACGCATGGACCACCCTTTCGACTGGTCTCGGGGTGCGACAGGGAGGGGTCATCCATAAGGACAAAGAATGGAGGAGGAAGGAGAGGGGAGAATGAGGGAGGCAGAAGAGGAGGATGAGGAGGAGGAGGAGGAGAAAGAAGAGAAGGAGGTGGGAGGTGGAGGAGAAGGAGGAGGATGAAGAGGAGGAGGAGGAGGAGGAGGAGAAGAAGGAGGAGGATGAAGCCTCGATCGCCCGATCCAGCTCCCATTTGCCCCGCAGGGGGACCGAGGCGGCGGCAAGCGCGGCCTCTACAAGCCCATCAGGCCCGCGATAAACGACACCAGCTCTCATCGCGACCGACGCCGGCTGCGACTACAACCACATCGTCAACTACGACATTGCGGTCACGCATCACCGCTTGGCACAGGCGACTACGTCGACAGCGTGCTCACGCTGGGGTTCACTGCGCAGACATGAAGCGCGTGAGCTACTGCTACTGGCATAAAAAGCGCCCATCCACAGACGTTGCGTCGACGGTGCCGCCCTCGGACCCCCTAAATCAATGTTGCGTTCGCGGCAGTTGTCGGGGTGCAAGATGGTGCAAGCATCGGCATAAAAAAAAACTCCCAGAACTCCACTGCCAAGGCAACCCCGTTTTCAACATTTAAATTGGAGGGCACGGAGGTTCTGAACACAGCGGCGTTGTCCATTATGCCTGGTGGGCGTTTTTTACGCCAAAGGCGGCCCTCCAGGCGCACCACAGCGCACAAGAACCACCGCGACATTCACCTCAAGCTCCTACAATGACAATGGCGGCACCATGGGAATAAATCGCGAGCGGATCAGGTACGACGCCACCACCCTGGAGAGCAACCTCGAGCAGGACTCCACGCAGGGGGCCGTCGATCATACCCACCACACACGCCGTTGGATCAGGCCTTGACCGATGGAGAAACGACAAATTGGTTACGAAGTGGCAGACCGAGCACCCCGACACCTATCTACTGGAGCTGGAGCTCCAACGGAAAGGAGACTAAAAGCATCACCGGCAGGGGAAAGGGCAGCGTCCCCAAGCCGTACGACGACATCGAGGACAATAACCACCAGCAGAAGGGCAAGAACAAGGATACTAATGGCACGGGCAACCAACAAACATCATCAGATAAAGACAACGCAGCCAAGAGGAAGCAGAGATAATCCAACAAGGATTATAACGATCACCCTTTAACATCATCGCCAATGTCATGCCCATGCGCAAGGTCTACGCCACGCGCAGGCCAGACTGGGAGTCACCACCCAACGACCCCAAGCTCAAAGAGAACTGGAAGAAAGTAAGGTCCTCGAACAACGGCGAGCTGCAGCCTCCATCATGAAGAGCAGCGCAGATGGACTACCCACAGCCGACGCCGAAGCACATATCGCCTTCATCAAAGCCGTGGTCATCACAAGCCTCCCACTCGGCCAACAGGCGAGAGAAATCGATCGCATCAAACAGACCATGTAGGACCACTACGAGCACACCAGGGCCCACCAGAAAGAGGTCGAGAAGCGCATCAACACTCTCGAAGCGAGGGCCAACGAGCTCCACACCAGCCAGAGGGACATCAGCTACGCATGGGACGACGCCTAGAACGACATCGGAGCGGCCGACGACGAGGCCGACACCCCACAGGCCCTGGAGGAGGACTCCAACGCCAGCTCCGAGAAGGCAGACTGGGGCCGGCGAGACCACCGAAGCCCAGGACGTGGGGATGCTCCCGAAGACCCTCAAGAGGAGAGCCAACGACTCGCACAAGAGCAGAGCAGAGCAGAGCAGAGCAAAGCGGCAGTTCCTCTCTGCCTGGGAGTGAGGCAATCGCCGCCGCGCAGATCGAGCCTTGCCGCGTCTGGCTGCGGAGATCTCGGGTCTGTGGGCGTTCGCTCTGATGGCGGTGTTGCCGGTGATCGGGCGGGGGATGGCGCCCGCCTGCGCTCGGCCAGGGGCGATCGTTTCGCGCGAGACGATGGGGGGCTGCCTCTGGCCTGGCAGGGCAAACTACGCGCGGGGGGGGGGGGGGGCCGCGCCCCTCCGAGAGCGCGGGGCCGTTCACGGCCAGGACATCGGCGAAGTAGACCTCGCGCGGGCGCGGCCGGGCGCCCACCCGCGTCCGGGGCAGCGCTTCAGAGCCGCGGGCATCTCGAGTGAAAAGGGCGCGCTGGAGATGCATGACCTCGGCAACGATGGCTTGTTTCCTGCGGCGACGGCCCCTCTAGCGGCGCGCAAGGGCTCCGGCTATTCCGAGAGATGGGGCATGCAGGTCGGCGGGCTTCTGGCGCGAGCCAGGGTGCCAGCGGGTGGCCAGGAACGCCCGCGGGTGGCCAGGAACGCCGCTCTGCCACCTTCGCGTCCTCGAAGAGCGCTTGGAGCTCGGCGGGGATGGCGGCTCCATCGAGGTGCTGGAACTGCGGTTGGTCAAGCGTTTTGGGATTCCACTCGAGGGTCGTCGGATCGTTCTGGCCCGTGTTTCCGAGGGCGATGGGCACTGACGCTCAGTGGATCTCGCCCTTGGCATTGTGGGCTCGCCGCTGGAAACCCTGGTGGCGCTGTTGCAATGGGCTGGCCAAGTGTCCGTGGACTCGAACAACTTCCACTTGCCCGCCGCATCTATGAGGGCCCGTGAGAGGGCAAGGGTAAAAGCGCGGCGATGTCCTTGCCGCCCTTGAACTGGAGGGCGAAGCGTCCGGAAGGCACGTCTCCGCATAACTTCACCATGCCATCTCGGAGGTAGGCGGCAGCGATCCACTCGTGGAGGTCATTGATGATACAATTCTGTGCGGTGAGGCGCGGGGGGGGCCCGGCGACAAGAGCGAGATCGGGGACGCGGTTCCACGCCGCGAGGGCCTCGCGCATCTGGTCGACGTGGGTCCACATGCGACGCTACTCGTCAGCTTGTTGGTATTGTTCTCTCCGCGCTCGGGCACCTGCGTCGTGTGGGGCATTCACTCGGCGTTCTGGTTGTACCACTTGCTTTTGAAGGAGACGGCTAAAGTCGTTGCTGGATCGTTTGGGGAGGTCGTTGGCTCGGTTCTAAAGTGGCCGTGGCGAGGCTGCCACGTTCTCCCATGAGGCGATGTAGTGGGGCTTCAAGCTCGGCAGGGATACCGTGTATGTGTCGCTAAGTAGTTCGGCACCTTGTGGCGCGGGGCGGTCCCCCTCCATGGCGGCACCAGCTGCGTGTCGATCACCTTCTCGATGTGCGGGTCTCCACGGGCCACCAGCTCCTGCAAGTGTGTCAGGTGCCGCAGGGTGAGCAAACGGGTGAGCAGCAGCAGCAGCAGCAGCAGCAGCAGCAGCAGCAGCAGCAGCAGCAGCAGCAGCAGCAGCAGCAACTGGGGCGGTAACGTCTTGATCTGATGGCATGGACGGGTCCCCCTTTGCCCAAATCAAAGTCCGAGAGTGCACGGGCGAACGTGTCTGACTGAGGGAACTGACGATGCTCTGTGAAATGTCGCTGGCGTTCCTGGTGGCGGCGGCTGAAGAACGACCTGGCCCCGTAGCGTCATGGTGTCGAGCATGGTTCCCACTGCGGCCTGTGGAGCGCGCGTGCTCGGTGGGGCCCTCTTTCTCCGCTGCTTCCAATGTGGCACGAGCTGCGGTTTGTCGAACGCCTCGGCCGTCGCGTCGGTCAGGGCGAGCAGCTACGCGTTGTGCTTTTCAACGGCGGCGTCGTGAAGCGACTAATGATGGGATGCTTCTGGAAGTGGATCGCTCGTCAGCGCTGCCACCACAGGATCCCCTGGGAAACCGCATTGTGGAAGCTTGTGATTGAAGAGGACGGAGCTGTTCGACTGCGAGCCAATGATGAGCTGCTGCGCGAAACCGATACGTTTTGCTTGAGGATATGGATGTGCCTGGTACTGAGGCAGAGCAGGACGTGGGATATGGAGGACGCGGCTCGACCAAGTCGAATATGGAGGGCCACATGCAAGGCCAGTGAACTGAGCAGGAAAAGCTGGAAGCACGATGCGCTGCTGCAGGTCCCTGGGGGTGGCAGCAGAGCTTGCGATCTGCTCCCGGCCCAGAGGTCTCCGTGAAGCCGCACGGCGACATGCAGACTTGAGCCAAAATCGCTTCGGGAGGAAGAGAAGGAGGACGAGGAGGAGGAGGAAAAGCAGGAGGAGGCAGGATGACTGTGAGGAAGGAGGAACAGGGGGAGAAGGATGAAGGTGGCCTTCGGCGGTTTAGAGGGTTCTAGACTTTCTCTCATCAGCTCCAGGGCAAAGAGGAGGATCGGCAACAGAGACACAACGTCCACATCAACGACATCGAGTCGGAATCGGACAAGCTCAGCCTCGGGGCGAGACGCTCCTCGGTCGAGCGGGGGATGTCGGAAACCCTATTTACACTGTCGCACCCGTCTCCCGGGACTCAGCTGTGGAGCATGCCGCGCTCAAACAACGCTCCCCGCAGAAGCCGGCGCTCGGGAACCCATCCCAGAGGCGCCAACAAAAATTCCCCGCAGAGCGGGGGGCGTCAAGCGGCCACCTCATCGATCCTGGCCAGGCCCATCCTGGGCCCAAGGTCGGCGTATGCGCCCTCGTCGTCGTCGTCGTCGTCGTCGTCGTCGTCGTCGTCCGCGTCCTCGTCGTCGTCGTGTCGGCCTGGCCTGGGAGGCACGATAGTGGTAAAAGACGCTGGCACATAGCGAGAAGTGCTGTGCCGCGGAATCAAAAACCGGCGCCCGCTTTCCTCGCTCTCTGGACTTGATTCGGCGGTGGACAAAACTCCCTTTAGTAAACCTCCCCTTAGCGAAAACTGCCTGGGACCAAAACCGACGGACCTGGACCCGCAAAAACGACGGCCGCGACGCCCTCTCGCGAATCGAAAACGGCCAATTCACTAATCGACGTGTCAGGGTAGGAGGTCTGTCCACCCCCGCTTGATTTTCGTACCCGACAGGTCGGGGGTGTTGGATTGCAACAGGTGGTCCCCAGACCCGCCGCCTGCTGCTCTCCGCGCCGCGGCGGACAGGCCCAGAGTGTGCCGGTGCTCCCTGGGGAGCCCGCCTCGCGCTCTCGGGATGGGGACCGCTCGAAGTGAGACACCTTACAGCCGGGCCGCCGAAAGCTTGCTGCCTCTTCTCCTCCTTCTTCTCCTCCTCCTCCTCCTCCTCCTCCTCCTCCTCCTCCTCCTTGTCGTCGTCCTCCTCCTCCTCCTCCTCCTTTTTCTCCCTTTTTCTCCTCCTGCTTCCTCCTCCTCCTCTCGTCCTCCTCCTCCTCCTCCTCCTCCTCGTCCTCCTCCTCCTCCTCCTCGTCCTCCTCCTCCTTTTTTCTCCTCCTCCTCCTCCTCCTCCTCCTCCTCCTCCTCTCCTCCTCCTCCTCCTCCTCCTCCCTCCTCCTCCTCCCCCCTCCTCCTCCTCCCCTCCTCCTCCTCCCCCCTCCTCCTCCTCCTCCTCCTCCTCCTCCTCCTCCTCCTCCTAAGAATGCTCTAAAAGCAAGAACAATGTTCTCGTAACAAGACGATCTCAACCAGACATGTCCCGAGAACATATCGTGCAAACCACAAAGGGCTCTCGGAACATTCTGTGGTGGGCCTGCCCGTCGGGCGGAAGGAGTGGGCAGACGCATGAAGCAGGAAGGCGCTGGAAGTGGATTGGGTCTCCAGCAGCCACCCGAAGAGGAGGGAACAGGGAAAACCTCCAGACTTTCTTGAAGTAGGAAGGCGCCTAAAGCAGAATTGGGATCTGGGTATCCCCAAATTCATGTTCCTCCCATCGCACTTAAGGACCACACCTCAAAACTAATCTCGAGCACCCCGAACAGTATCGAGACAGTGTCGAACGAGTATCGCCTCCCAGGGCCCGACGCGCGAAAACCCTCCAGTCTCAGTGCTTTCTCGGTGCTCGACACTCCCTCTGGCGACCAAGGCTAAAGCTTCCAACGACCGACGAGCACAGGCAGGCCAGGGCCTCTCGCCACTGCTCGACACCTGGGCGCCTCGATCGCACCACGCCGACCCTGGGCTCCGCACGGGCCAGCCGCCAAGAAAGATCGGTGCTGTGGCTTGCCGGCGCCCCCCGGAGCGCGACGAGGCCGACGCCCCCGAGGGAGCCCATCCCAGGAGAGGCCGGCAGACGCGGGCGGCGGGAGGAGCAGAAACAAGAGCAGAAAAAGTGCGGGACGCGCAGGGGGGACAGCCATCGGGTCGGACGAGGGGGGCGAGGGGCCAAGCTAAGGGGCGGGGGGACTCGCGGCTTGAGATCTGAGGCGTCGGACGGTTTCGTCGGTCCTCGGCGAGTTTCCAGCCTCGGGATGCCTTCTGGCAAGTGCGCCTCGCCGAGAGCGTTCTGGGGGTGCCCAGATCGCCCCGAACGGCCGCCAGAGGCTTCAATTATGGCCCGGAGAAGGGGGACCAGCTCAGGGGGGGAACGTCGACCTGCAGTCGGCGATACATCGCCGATGGATCGGCGATGGGCCCCCGAGAACAAATCCGCACGTTCCTGGGCGGGGGTGGGGCATCAGACCCCTCTCGACGATCAATGCGCGGTTGGAAGTCGACGCTCCCCCCCCATGCCTATCCCCCCCTAGCGTTGCCCCTGGGGGGGCGATGGCAGAGGGCAGGGCCAATCATTGGAGGCCTGGAAATGGGCACCAACACCAGCACAGAGGGTTGCCTCCATAGGGGGAAGATGATCCTAGACTTCGGCGTTGGTGGTAATACTTCGGCCACCTTGGCAGCCAGAATATGGCCACCATCACCGAGATCGGGAGCTCCTTTCCTCGGTAGAGGCACACCGCCGATATTTCGGGGGCGGCAAAGAGGGGGGTGTCCAAGAGGGGGGGGTGCAAATCATGACCGGCGGCATGTGCGCGGCCCAGCGGGGGGGCCAGGGACGTAATGAAATAAGAAGAGGCGCCATGAAATCTGGGGAAATATCATGGCCCCCGCCATGATATCCACCCCCCCCTAGTCATCACCCCCCTCTTTTCCGTCCCCGAATATTGGTGTTGGTGTCAACCTCTAGGCCTGCGAAATCAGCATCGAATTGGGGGATCGGATCGGACCGGAATGCGCGTCGAACTGGGCCGCATCGGCACGGAGTCGGACTCGCATCGGATCGGCCGCGCCGGGACGGACAACAGCGCCGTGCGAACATCGGGCCACATCGGACCGTCGGATCGCATCGGATCATCGGAATCGAATCGGATCGACCCCGTCGGAACCAATCTTTCATCTGATAGATCGGATCGGACCCTGACGAGGCGGTTAACGAATCGGCTCACGGAACTGTTTTTGCCTTCGCTTCCGGGTGCCAGCAGGCGCCACTGCAGCGAGGAAAGGCGCCTGGCCGTGGGGCCGAAGCCAGCCGCACGCAGTAGATTTCGTACTCCCCCTCTTCCCGATTCGTCCGACCCGAAGCAGGCGTGCTCCACGCGATGGCGAGGACCGCTATGGAGCGAATTGTCACAATCTAGGCCTGCATGATCCGTCCAGCGGTCTCAGGGCGTCAGCAGGGAGCCTCTCCGATGACTCGAAGTTGTTAGGATCAACCACATTTGGGCATGAAATAACGGCGGGCCCGCGCCAACCTTTGGGTGGAGCCAGGAGGAAAAGGGAGTAGGATGAGGACGAGGAGGAGGAGGAGGAGGAGGAGGAGGAGGAGGAGGAGGAGGAGGAGGAGGAGGAGGAGGAGGAGGAGGAGGAGGAGGAGGAGGAGAGGGAGGAGGTGATGCCACATCTTTGGGGGACCCGGTCTGTCTCATCGCGCCACTATCCATGTCGCATCCGCGTCGAACCCATGTCGAATTGGCGTCGAATCCACCTCCAGACCCGCGCTTGGCGCAGTGAGAAAAACCGAATAATGCATGACCGACCATCGAACAACAAGAGAGGCACAAACAGAAACTGTCGTACGTCCCCGCGGGCCCTTTGGGTCGGACTGGCTCCCGCTCCCGCTCCCCACGCCTCTTCCCGGTTGCGCGGAGCGCGCCTGGGCTGCGGGGAGGGGGGGTCCAGCGTTAGGTCGGGCGTGTCCCCCTACAGGCGGACTTTGGAGGAAAAGTCACAAATACCACCCCAAAAATGCTCAAAAATACTCAAGAATAGGCAAAATCCGCCGACCCTGTCGGCGTGTGTGAGGGGCTTTTCCGTTCGAGCCGTCATCTCCGTCATTCTTTGTAATCGTCGTCTCTGTCGTTCCCTTTCCCTGGTACCCCTCTTCCCCTGGGCTCCTCCCCGCTCCCCTCGCCCTTTCCCAGGGCCTCCTCCTCAAGCGCGCTAGCCAAACCGACCTTCAGCAACGTCGTAATTGATTCGAAGGGAAGCCCCTTCCCTTTCCCTTCCCCGACGGGGGGGGGAGGGGGGGTCCCGGGGGGGGTCCCGGGGGAGTCCCGGGTCAGATACGACGGCCCCCCCGTACCGACCTTGAGCAACGTCGTAATTGAGTCGAAGGGAAGCCCCTTCCCTTTCCCTTCCCCGACGGGGGGGGGAGGGGGGGTCCCGGGTCAGATACGACGCCCCCCCCCCGTACCGACCTTGAGCAACGTCGTAATTGAGTCGAAGGGAAGCCCCTTCCCTTTCCCTTCCCCGACGGGGGGAGAGGGGGGGTCCCGGGGGGGGTCCCGGGTCAGATACGACGCCCCCCCCCCGTACCGACCTTGAGCAACGTCGTAATTGAGTCGAAGGGAAGCCCCTTCCCTTTCCCTTCCCCGACGGGGGGGGGAGGGGGGGTCCCGGGGGGGGTCCCGGGGGAGTCCCGGGTCAGATACGACGCCCCCCCCCCGTACCGACCTTGAGCAACGTCGTAATTGAGTCGAAGGGAAGCCCCTTCCCTTTCCCTTCCCCGACGGGGGGGGGAGGGGGGGTCCCGGGGGGGGTCCCGGGGGAGTCCCGGGGAAGTCCCGGGTCAGATACGACACCTCCCTCCCCCACCTTCTCGTCCTTCTCCCCGTTCCCCAAAACCATCCCACAGCCCGTGCCTCTTGCTGCGCATTGCGAACAGGGTCGGCGGCACCGGCCGTAAGGCCTTCGCAATAGTAAAAAAGTCGTCTCCAGACCAGTTTTTTACTATTTTTGAGAATCTTCCCTGTAGAGGGAGGGGGAGTCCAGCGTTAGGTCGGGCGGGTCCCCCTACAGGCGGATTTTGGAGAAAGTAGCGAATACCCCAAAACTGCTCAAAAACACGCAAACATCGTTGTTTTTTTGGGGGCAAAAGCAAAAAACGAAAAAAAGCCCCCAGACTAGTTTCTTACTATTCTTGAGGATCCCCCCCCTGTAGAGGGACAGGCCCGACTTCCGTCCAGCGCCGCCCCGGGAGCTCCGCGCGAGGATCCCCCCGAGCGTGCCTGATCGTGCCGTGGCTCCGCGCTCCTCCGCGGGCCCGCGGGGGGGGGGGACGCCCGCGGGGAGGGGGGGGGGGGACGGGCTCAAGGGCAAAAAGCACGGAGATAGGGTCGGCGATGCATCGCAGATAGGTGGGCCTTTTTTATCACATACATCGTGTATGTATGTATGTATGTTCGTTTGTATGTATGTATGTATGTATGTATGTTTGTATGTCTGTATGTATGTATGTATGTACGTATGTATGTATATATGTGTGTATGTATGTGTATATGTATGTATGTATGCATGCATGAATGCAACCATGTATGTATGTATGTTTGTTTGTATGTAGGTATGTAGGTAGGTAGGTATGTATGTATGTTTGTATGTATGTATAAATGTATGTATGTATGTATGTATGTGTATATACGTATGTCTGTCTGTCTGTCTGTCGGTCTGTATGTATGTATGTGTATGTATGTATGTATGTATGAATATGTTTATGTATATGTATACGTATGTATGTATGTATGCATGCATGCATGCATGCATGCATGTCTGTCTGTCTGTCTGTCTGTCTGTATATATGTATGTGTATGAATGTATGTATGCATGTATGGATGGATGCATGGATGCATGTATGTGTATGTATGTATGTCTGTGTATGTATGTATGCATGTATGTATGTATGTATGCATAAATGTATGTATGCATGTGTATGCATGTATGCATGTATGCATGTATGCATGTATGTATGTGTATGTCTGTATGCATGCATGCATGTATGTATGTATGGATGCATGTATGTATGCATGCATGAATGTATGTTTGTGTATGTATGTACGCATGCATGTATGTATGTATGTCTGTCTGCCTGACTGTCTGTATGTGTGTATGTGTATGTATGCATGCCTATGTATGTATGTATGCATGTATGCATGTATGCATGTATGTATGTGTGTATGTGTATGTATGTATATATGTATGTGTGTATGTATGTATGTATGTAGGTATGCATGTATGTATGTATGCATACATGTATGCCTGTGTGTATGCATGTATGTATGTATGTGTCTGTATGTATGTATGTACGCATGTATGTATGCATGTACGCATGTATGTATGCATGCATGCATGCATGCATGTTTGTGTATATATGTATAGATGTATGCGTGCATGCATGTATGTATGTATGTATGTGTGTGTATGTATGTATGTATGTATGTATGAATGTATGTATGTATGTATGTATGCTTGCATGTGTATGAATGCATGTATATATGCATGTATGTATGCATGTATGTATGTATGTATGTGCATGTATGTATGTATGCATGCATGTATGTATGCATGCATGCATGTATGTATGTATGTGTATGTGTATGTATGTGTATGTATGCATGCATGTATGCATGTGCATGTATGCATGTATGCATGCATGCATGCATGTATGTATGTGTATGTATGCATGCATGTATGTATGTATGTATGCAGGTATGGATGCATGTATGTATGTATGTGTATGTATGTATGTATGCATGTATGTATGTATGCATGCATGCATGCATGTATGCATGCATGCATGCATGCATGTATGTATGTATGTATGTATGCATGTATGTATGCAGGTATGTATGCATGTATGTATGTATGTGCATGTATGTATGTATGCATGTATGCATGCATGCATGCATGCATGTATGTATGTATGTATGTATGTATGTATGTATGTATGTATGTACGCACGTACGTACGTATGTATGTATGTACGTACAGAACAGATAGGTCGGCGATGGGCCCCCGACGGCGAACCTGGCACGGTCCTTGGCGGTGTGGGCTACAGGAGCGCGGCCGGCGATGAGTGGGCGACGGGGGCTCGATGCGTCCACCCCCGAGCGTGTTTCCCTTCCCGAGCGAGCGCTTTCTTAATCCGGCGTCTCGACACTGGGCGGGAGGGGGGGGGGGGAAGGAGGCGGAGGAGGGGGAAGGGGAGGAGGCGGGGGAGGAGGACGGGGGGCATTGGGAATGGGGGAGGGGGGTCTGGCTCCGGATCTCTGCTCAGAGCGGCTGTCTGCAGCGGTGCGTCCTATGGGGGAGGGACTCCACCCGCTCGAAGCAGGCGCCAACAAAGCAGCCAAGCTCTACCCCATGGGGGGGGGAGGAGAGGGGGGGTGCGAGGGCCCGCGCCGATCGGCAAAACCACGAATCAAAAATGATCACCAAGGATGCCCCTGATCCCCCGAAGATGCAGCGACGACGAGGTACGAGGGACAGAGCGGGGCGGGGGAGCAGAGCTGCCGAGAGCGCGTGGTCCGTGCCACGGCCACGCCGGAAGGACTAGGCAACCTGCAGGAGCGCAAACGCTCAGCACAAAGGGGAAAGGTCAACCTATAAGATTGTGGTCCTGTGGGTTGGTCTATGACTATGGCGGATCTGCTCCCCGGGGGCCGCGCCGAGGCTCCCCGGGGGCCGGGGCCGAGGCCCCCTCGTCGTATGTTTTCAGGATGGGTGTCCGCGCGGATCTCTGGAATCGGCGCTGGGACCCTCTCGCTGCCGCGCGGAGTGCGCCAGAGGCGGCGCGGGAGGCACCGCCAGGGGGGGCCCCAGCGCCGAGCCAAGAAATATGTGCGAACCTCTGAGAAAGGTTTGCGCTTGTGCAGTTGTTTGTCCTTTGGCACTCGCTTGTTCGGACCCTTCTCCGAGCAAAGCGTGAGCAAGCACGTGCCGGCGGTATCATCAAGCCTGCCATCGCGCACACGAGCGAAGGCTCGAGCGCCAGGGCTGCATCTGGAGGCCCCCCTGAGACGGTGCAGGGAATCATCATCATCACCACCACTACCATCATCATCATCATCATCATCATCATCATCATCATCATCATCATCATCATCATCATCATCATCATGATCATCATCATCATCACCACCACCACCACCACCGCCACCATCACCATCATCATCATCATCATCATCATCATCATCATCATCATCATCATCATCATCATCACTCCCATCATCATCATCAGCATCATTACCATCGTCATCAACATCGTTGTTGTCGGTGTCATTCTCATCATCATCATCATCATAATCATCATCATCATCATCGTCATCGTTATCGTAATCATCATCTTCACCACCACCATGACCATCACCATCATCATCCTCATCGTGATCGTCATCATCATTAACATCATCATCAACATCATCCTTAATCGGTATTCCTCATCATCACCCTCGTCCTCATCCTCATCATCAACCACCACCACCATCACCATCACCATCATCATCATCAGAGTCAGCATCATTTTTTTCATCATTATTCCTATTACCACTACTCTTAGTGTTTATAGTTTTACGGTTCTACTAATAATTAGCATTACTACTCTTGTTATTTCCGCGAGTCGTTTTATATTCTTAGTATTATCATTCCGATTCGCATTATGATTTTGATCGCATTCCCGTTGTTTTTGATACTGTGACTTTATCCTTTGCTTCGTAGTACGACTACTACGACTACTGCAACGACTGCTGCAACGACTACTACTACTACTACTACTACTACTACTACTACTACTACTACTACTACCTTACTACCTTACTACCTTACTACCTTACTACCTTACTACCTTACTACCTTACTACTACTACTACTACTACTACTACTACGACTACTACGACTACTACTACTACTACTACTACTACGACAACGGCTTCAACCACTACTACTACGACCACTACGACCACTACTACTACTACTAC